ACACACACACACACACACACACACACACACACACACACACACACACACTTGCACCTCATACACAATGTTTTTTGAATGTTTTACTGAAAAAAAAAGCATCAGTGTCTAGTCTACAGATTATTTTTTAAAAGCTAAAAATTTTAAATGATGATTTTTGATTCCAACTGCATGAATTCAGGTGATCCAGAGGTTAGATTTCACACTGAAAACACAAAATATTTAAATTTTAATGAGAAGRCTCTAGCTCTAAATAKAAAYTKTGCTGCTGATACTTGACACCACAAYTTTAGTATGACGATCACCTGTAACCTCTTTACTGTTTTGACAGTGTCTACTACATATACCTATAAATGCAAGGGTTTTTCTTTTCTTTGTTTACCTGTGAAGATCGCTTCAAGACCCCCAATTGCTATTCACATKGTGGCATTTGCTGTATTTGAATCGGCTTGTTTCCTTTGTTGAGGTTAGAGGGTGCAACCACTGCAAGTCATTTGAACAAGCTGATAATTGGTGGCAGGCCACAAGCCGACAGGGTGAGACATGAGAATTATCACKGAGGATGAATCCAAAGACTTAACACGGCTTGAAAACTCCCACCCACATATTGTGTTTTATAAACAGATCTTCATCAACTAACAATACCACGATTTATCATATATTTTWTGTTTCAAAATTATGCTTTGAGCAKAWGTAAATGTTCTTTGATGAGATATAATGTCAGTTTAATAAATTACTTCTATCTACTTTTAATTAAGAAAATATAACTAGTTACTGTTCCAAGAAAGATGGTGAAAATTAGACAAGTACAGCATCCTAGCACTRCCTGGTCAAATTGACTGTGTTGCATTTTGCAGACTGTAAAACGTGCAATATATTCAGCATTAAAATAATAACTCGGTTCTTAAAACAAGATGTCTCTTTAATCGGTAAGTGTCAACAGCAGTACAAAAGATGGAGTGATGTGAGAAACTTTCTGCAACACAATTTCTGTCACTTTTACAGAATATAAGGGAATTCTTGAGGTAAATGAGCTAAAACAGGCAGTTATCAGCCCACCACTGTATCGATACAGTGGACAAAGACATATGGAAAATGCTGTTATGTTACGTCAGAAGTTATCCTTTGGGGATAATTTAATAATTTACAGTATACACATTGCTATGATGCCATTGTGCACCCACGTGTATCAATCTTTTTTTGTCTGTTTTCTTTTTATTCTTTATATAGTGTATTAATACTACTAAAGCCAAGAAATTGGCTCTCCACGCACACCCATGTAAAATTGTTCACCTTAAATTTACCTCACGTCAATACTGCACATGAAAAACAAAAAGTAAAATAAAAAAAGCTTGGTGTACACTTTGAAGCAAAGCAAAAAAAAAAACATAAAAAATTAAGTAAAATTTTCTTTTTTTTCCAGCAATAATACACAGTTGCAAATAATTGACCATTTTTTTGTTCTTTCTAAAGAAGAATGTGAACACAATTGTGATGGCATCGTATTTTTTTAAAGTTGAATTAAAAACTTTACATTGGACTGTACAAGATATGATAAACTATTTACATTGTCAGACATAAACTTCTTTTTTAAAGCAGCAACAGACACTATGTAATTCATTTTCACTAATAACACCCAAACAATACTTGCCATGAGCTTCGGTACCTGCCAGGAGAGGAAATAATCAAAAAGACTTTTTTATGCGGTAAATTGTTTCAGGCTGCCAGCATTTTCAAAAACAATGGCTCCAGTCATAGAAGAGCCCCACACAGTGTTGCTTGAAAAGACAACTCTTGAAAGCAGAGTACCAAAGGCAACTGAAAATGTTGCCACCAAACAACTATTTTTTACACTTCTGAACAGCAGCTAGCATGTCAGTCCAGCATGTCAGTGAATTGTGCTGATTAAATTAACAGAGAACATTCTCACCATATACATCACAAAGTTCAGACGGAAAAAAAAAAAAAGAAAAAAATTCTAATTACAGTAATGTTAAAACAGCATAGAATCTTTTTGTCCTCAGTTCATTCAAACAATTTGCATGTCTTACAAGTGAAAAAGAATGAACAAACTGTGAGGGCTACATTTGCAGATTCTGGATAGTCAAAGACAAGTTCATTAAAAAATGGCAGCATACAAAACAGATGGCAAAGTAAAAGTGAACCAAGAGAATGCACAATATCGGTGCATTTTACAACATCAAAATCAATAAATACTTGCGTACTCCCACATAAAAAAACCTAGCATCACTTGTTTGAATTAAAAAAAAAATGATTTTTTTATTAGAAAAATGCCAGTGCAAGCCAAATGCATGCAACTTCTTTTAGATCTCAGCTCCTTATGAAAGAAAAAGAAAAATGCCACATAACACAAATGATTGTATATTGATTGGACACAAATGGATGAATAATTATTTTACATCAAGTGCTTGTTTGAGTTAGTACCTTATTAAGTCTGATGGTGCATTGACTAGTTACTGTTTAGACCAATATTATTCTCTTTTGTTTATCAGAAAATCAGCATCTACATGAGGTACAGTGACTTGTCAGACATTAAGACATAAAAATAAAGCATAAAATAGAAAATAAAACAAAACAGCCAAATACATAACTTATATTATTGGACAAAACAATTTGTCATATTTACAAAAAAATAAATGAGATGGTGAATTAACTGAAAACCATTTTAGCTCCAATTTTTTGTTATTTTTGTTTACTCTGATTGTCCTTGTTGCTTTTTTTTACTGACAATTTTAGAGCCAGCTGTGGCTGATAATAAATAAAATACGTTGATGCCTTCAGCATCAAATCTAATCTACAATGCACTGACGCCTGTTGTTCCACAGCTCTCCGAGCCTGCTGTTGAATTTTCAGCTTATTCTCTTGTGCTGAGTCTGTCCCCGAGGCAGCCCTGAAGCCTCAACGAAGTGTTCATTCATCACATGTGTCTTTGCATAAATACACGAAATAAGTAGACAAACAAATAAAACATACAAAAAAAAAAAAAGACCCAAAGCCGGTAAGTGTGACAACAAACCCGTTTGAGTCTAGCCGGGGAATCTTGTTCATTCATGATGATTTCTCCTCAATTTCACATTGATCAGAATTGATAAAAATACAATTTATATCCAGTGCTTATAACACAATATCTCACTATGAGTTCATGTTGTCTGTTTTATTTTTTCATTTTTTGTGTGTTTTTGCTATATAAGCACAGTCAAGTTTCACTTCCTCGAAGAGTCCAACAGCCAGCCAACAAAAGCAATGTTGCGCGGTCAGGAAACTATTTACAATCACAAACAAATCAATCTGACCACCAGCAAACAGGAGGAAACCTTGAAACAACCAAAACGGGTTGACTTGAATGGAAATCCACTTCAGTTTGTTTATAGGAGAGCTTTTCATAAATTGCTTTGTTCCTCAAAGGAGAAAAAGATGCACTGAGGGGRAAAAAAGGAATCATCAATTAGATGATTTATACATGAATTATGTTTAAGTGTTTCCAGAGGTTTAAGCAATGCAATTCAGCACTGAATGGTATTGGCAAYAGGACTGTAAGAAATAAGTAAGAAAATAAAAAAATAGAAGCCATCAGCACCACTTAGAGCCAGGAGAAAAATGCAGTGACCAGCACTGGGGATCTTGACCAGATAAAGTCAGTGACCAGCTATTCAGATCCTTCACAAAGCTCTGCACTTGCTCTGAAATGGACAAGTTCAAGGGCAAGGGAGGGGGAATAACTGGACTCATGCATTAATAATGCTGTATTTCAGATGATACCCAGTCGTCAGTCATTTTAATAATCCCCCACAGCTTGATGTACTTGTTCCATCTGCTCGCCAGTGCCTGGTGATTGGGCCAGGGTGGAAGCCCTGTCGAGGCCTTACTTCCAGCACTTTGATGGAGAGCACAATGAGGGACACACACCCTGTTTTTTTATTGTTTCCCACCCTGCCCCGCTGCTTTCTCCTTTTCAGAGCCAGATGGTGCCCCCTGGGTGCTGAGGTTGCCACAGACTGGGGTCAGAGCAGGGCATGGCAGGGAGGAGRGCCACTTAGACCTTCTGCTCCACAAAAGTATCTGAGCCTCGACATCAAGGCCTTGAATGCTAAAGGTATTTCATACAGCTGAAGATTTCAGAAGGTCACCAGAATTTGTTTCAATCTTCACATCATATTCTCCCTGTGTGTAACAATTATTTTTAATGCAGTATGAAGATTAAAAGAAATATAATTTAAGAATGATAAATAATTATAAAAGTGCACTACTGCTAAATTAATGTTATAAGTCACCTTTTGTTAAGGGTATGCATGAGTTTAGGAAACATGTTTTTAGCCTTTTTTTCTTTACTGAGGCACATCCTGGCAATCTGTCTTTCCGTTCAATGCGACTTTAGTAATCATGTCATTGCATCAACCTGATAACTGTGCTCTGTTTTAAGACTTCTTAGTGTCAGTTCAAGATTTACAATGCTAAAAAATTACTTTTTAAGACCTAAGACTTTAAACACGCTGTCCAAAAGGGGCTAAAGTGTTTAACAGAATGTACTGTAGCTTTGCAGCTATACATTGTACAACATCAATTTAAGATTGTAATGCCACCAAAGCTGCCTTTCGTTTTCTGTTCCAATCCTGCAGATTGGAGGCCTCTGGCCCTTTTAGCAGCCTGGCCTGATTACAATCACTGATTAAGATCTTTGTGAGTCTGACTGGGTTGCAGAGCTGGAAATGAGTGAAGGATGCCACAATCTTTTGTGTGGACTGAGACAAGGAAGAAAAAAATGGGGTGGAGTCATTGTTGATCACTGCATTCACTTCCCTGAAGTACAGCTAGCATCACAAGCGTCAGTCTCCCCCTGATGTAACATTTTGTCACCTCCTGTAGTGCTCRCTGCCTCCAAGTTCCTGAGTTTCATTTGTCTGCTCTGTTCAGGTGAAGAAAGACCAGGGGATGAAGAAACAAAGGTTGTTTAAAGCTGGATTCATGCTCAGCAAAAAGTACAGAAATCTGCTCTCGCTCATGTAGTTGTGCCAGTTTCTTAACTTGGACATTTTTTATTATATAGACTAAAACACACTGTTTGGAATTTTCTAATTTGTCACAAATAGACTGCTGCAKTTTCCGACACACGGTGCAGAACAATGTATGTAACATGTTCTTACACTGCCAGGCTGAGGTGCWCTCTCTGCCTCAGAGAGCCGCCTGTGTCTCCGCGCTGTCTCTGCCATGCACAGTAATTGTGCTATCCCCATTCGACTATCTTTACAAGTAGACCTGGAACAGTTGTAAAGATTTTAAATTGTAAAAATGGCTGTATTTTTCTAGCAGCCTCGACCAGCTGAAGCAAAAGGACACCTTCCCAGTTCACTCGCTTTTTCGCATAAATACGCCCGCAAAAAACGTAGCGCACATTCCTGAGACGCTGTGTTGAGAATTGGTTCTCAGAGCTCATGAGAGAACAAAATTACATTTTTTGGTCATATGAGTACATCAGCGAAAGCAGATTTCTTCACTTCTCATGGAAGATGAATCAAGCTTTAGACATACAAAGCCTCTCCTGAAGGACTTTTACAGGAAATGAAAAATTTGGCACTTTCGCACTAAATTATGCAGTTTTAATAATAATAATAATAATAATAATAATAATAGATTATTTTATTTCATTACTTAATTTTGAAATATTTTGCAACAACCACTTTTTTTCATGATTAAAAACATTCACAAGCTGTTGGCTGGCACACTTTACCTGAGTGAGATTGCTATATTGCTATCCCCATCTTGGACAGTTAGGTCATTAGGCAAAAAAACATAAAACTAAATTAAAACAATTTGACTGTTTGTAAAAAAAAAAGTAGTTTAGCTTCAAGTTCTGAGTTTCGCTTTAGGCAATGAACTAATTGTGTAAATGACCATGAGCTCAAATAAAAAATAAACAATGAGTAAAAGAAAAAAACAATAAATTATCACAACAGAAATGCTTCACAAACTTAAAGAAATGATTAAGACCAAATAGTTTCGGACTGATGAAGCCACAGCTGCATGCTGGCTTCTTCACGTTAMATTACGTTTTCTTTTTAAACATTTTCAAACCTTTGTGGTACAGTTTTTTTCTTTTCTTTTTGCTCTTTCCTCCCTCAGACCTGAACATCCCTTCGGGGCGTCCTCCTGTATGAGTGTTGTCTGCTTGATTTTAGCCTCCTCTGTTAAAAAGGTCTCAGTTGGCGCTGACTGGCTCTTGTGTGTCATTTTCACTGCTATAGTCTGATTTGGGCTCGTCCTCAAAATCTTCGTACATGTCCATCTCGTCCTCGCCGTTGACCGGCTCGTTGTTGTTCACCATGTTACTGGGCTCTAGCTTCATGTTGTACGTGCTCTGAATGACGGGAATGGACGGCTCAGGACTCACTGACGCGCTCGAGCACTCTGACGTCATCTGAGGTGAGGGTGTGGTGGTCGCCATCGTGATGGCCCCGGGGTAGACCATGCTGGCGCTGGTGGTGATGGGAATCTGCGGTGGCTGGCTGGACCAACAAGCAAAAAAAAAATAAAACAATTATTCAAACGCCTTCCTGTTTGTAGCACTTTTTTAAAAAATTAAAATTTAAGAATGCTCAGTTGTGTATTAGAATTACCCTTGCTCATTTCTTTAACTGAATATATATTTTTTGCAGCACTTATTTGTGAAGGCTACAATAGGGTCTTTCTTTCAGCAGTTTGCTTCAGCAGCAGATCTGTGAAAATGATTTGGGAGAAGAGAGTTTTTTTTTCCTTGACAGCTCCCGTTTTGAGCTGTTCAGAAACACTACCCAGTTTATTGGTGACATAAAACCAATGCGAGGTTAGTGCTGCTCTTGTCTGCTGTTGCGCAGCATGATTGATACCACAGCCGCTGAAGCTTATGACTGACATGGGAACACCTGGAGAAGAGTTCTCCTCCTAACCACACACAGTAAATTAAAGTGTTAGGCTGTAGGCTGCTGCCCTCCAGGCTTCTCCGAGTGTATACTTACATCTTATATCCTATAATAATCKCTGCGCTGCATGCTCAATTTAAAAACTGCTATTGTATAAAATCTTCTAAATCGCAGCTATTGAACAACATGCCTGGTTTTATAACCTGTACAACAGAGGTAACAACACTCCACTTGAAAAACGTTTATTTTCCAGGCAGTCAAAATAATGTAGTGTGTTTTACAGATTTTACAGACTGGATCGTGGAGTTTGTGAGCGTGCACGTACCCCACAGTGAAGAACTGCCTCATTTCTTGTCGCCGTGAACGCATCATCTGCTTGTACTCTCCAATTCGGAGTTTTTTGCCGTCGATTATGCAGGTCCTTTTAGGTCGCGGCTTGTACTTGTAGTTTGGGTACTTCTCTAAATGGAGCTTACTCAGTCGAGCCTGCTCTTCGTAGTACGGCTGCTTGTCCTGGTTAGACATAGACTTCCACCTCGAACCTGCACAACAAGCAGATCAATGATTGTAGTAAAATGATCGGTCAGATTGCTTTAAATGTGGGTTAAAAAGGCTGTGGTGCGTGTGAGGAGAAGGTGTCCTGACCTTGTCCTAAACAACATATACAATTTAAATTGACAATTTAGACTTATTATTTAGCAGTGTGTGTTTCTAATACAACAGTAATGGTAACAAACTGCAGACTTTTCTGCGAATATTTATGGAGTTCAATGTAAATAACATTTGAATGTGAAACTGATGATGTTGGTCTTTTTAAAATCAATTTCAAATGAGCTGCTTATTTTTTTTAAGACTGGAATACTCAATAACATGTCCATCTTCTCTGGGCTAATTTCTGTTTTTTCAAACGGAGGTCATTCTGAGAGCTATCTGCAACAGGTAAGATACTAACTACTTAAAATATCTTTATAACACCACTTTGATAATATTTGAACATTTTTTTAAGCCTTGACTGAACAGTTATTTCAAAATAATCAGCAGTTTTATTTCTGGCTAAATAAGACTCCACTTGGTCAAAAGTTAATTTGACTGAAAGTTTTTTTTTCTTTAAAGGAGACATGCTTTTAAATCTTTTTTCATATTTAAGTCATTCAGTTGGGGTCTACATAAAGTGGAACTGCAATGCTTTGGTCTGAATTCCTCCTTACTGTAACTCCACAAGCCCCTCTTTCACCTCTTTTCTGAGGTGTCTCTCAGATCAACTCGTTTTGAGGCTGTCTCTTTAAATCCAAATGAGGCGCTTCACACCCCGCCTCCCTCCAGCTTCCAAAGCTGTCCAATGTAGCTTGAAAGGGGGGTTTAGAAGTGCATAGTGGTGCAGAATTTTTTTTATTTACAAATTAATTATTTACAAATTAATGCATAAATTGAAAAATATGACTCAAACAAAATATAAAGATATCTACGCAGCACCGGGAGTGCCTAAATTCTAATTTTCTGCACCCCAAGAGAATCCAGATACACAACAACACGTATTTAACAGCTAAAGAGGTGGATTTTGCACKATGTGTCCCCTTTCAATTATACAAAAACATTTKATCCTACAACAACTTCTTTATAGGCGTGCCAGTGCACATCCTCCTACAGAAGAGACATGCTTGTTTCTTACTGTCCGGCGCTAAGGAACAAGCCAGCRCAGTAAATACTAAAGCTCCATGAAGTGCACCATGCTGGCATGGATGACAGCACTTTTAACAGCTCTGATGTATGGACTCCAGTGCTGAGGGGACAAGACCCATTTAGTCTCTGTCATTTTTCATGACAAACACTTATGGTAGTGATGGGCCATAAATCCATCTGTATGCTGAAGTGAAGTGATGCACAGCAGCCTATGCAGTAACACATTCACTCTCTCCTGCAAATTTTATCTGATATTTACATATTGGAGAGCAATAAAACCATCTAAATGTGCAAAACGGAAATGATTGGTCGATCTGTAAGATCAGAACATTTAGGTTGGTGTTAAAAATAAACCCTATAACAATCGATTGTATTGCATATTTAATTTATCAACATCTGTGCTGTTGAGTGCGTGTCCATTAAATCCAGACAGTATATAATAAAACAGTAAATGTTTAGCATGCTTTCACACTGCAAAAAATGTCCACCTAACCAAGTTTTAAAATCTTATATCCAGCCAAAAAGTCTTTTTGATMTTGTTTTGAGACTGATTTACTAAACAAGAACTGATTGTGTAAGAATACTAATCTTGTTTTCAGAATGTGTAAGATTATTTGTCTTATTCTGAAATTTGACTCAAATTAAGTCAAAAATTTCTGCCAAAGGAGCAAGAAAATTTTATTTGGTAAGATTCTTGAAATACTTGATTTGACTCAATTTTTTCTTATCTCAAGAATCTTACCAAGTAAAAATTTCTTACTTCGTTGGCAGAAATTTTTGACTTAATTTGAGTCAAATTTTCAGACTAACAAGACAAATAATCTTACACATTCTGAAAACCAGATTATTATTCTTACACAATCAGTTCTTGTTTAGTAAATCAGTCTCAAAACAAGATCAAAAAGACTTTTTGGCTGATATAAGATTTTAAAACTTGATAAGATGGACAGTTTTTGCAGTGCAGTAAATTGCATCCGTTGGTCTTACCTAAAATCTTGCTTATGTTAGAGTTGTGCATATCAGGGAAAGCCTGCAGGATCTTGCGCCGCTCATCTTTGGCCCACACCATGAACGCATTCATCGGCCTTTTAATGTGGGGCTCGTTGTTGTTGCGTCCCCGCGACTCCCTGAAGACTCGCGCCTCGGTGGATCCAGCACCACCTGTTGGCAAACAATAATAGAGTTGGGGGTTTATCCGCAAAGCCATTGACTTCCTTGGTCCCTGGAAACGCCAGAGCAGGAGGAGGAAGAAGAAAAGAGATCGAGGCAAGGCATTGATTAAATGACGAGCCAAGTTTAAACTCTCCTTCATCTGCTCTCATTATCTCTTTCATCATCATAATGAATATTGTTTTAAATGAGAGCAGGGAGAGCAAAGCTCGTAGGAGGGATGGAATCTTCTGAGTGAAAAATCTGATCTGAAGGAATTAAGTGCTCCAAAACTGACGGCACAAACGGTTTGCAAAGAGGCAGCTTCAAAAACACTTACATGTTTTGTCTTTAAATGTTCACTTTTCTCGTGCTCACACCTCTCAGTTTGACATCCACTCTGCCCACAAAATGTGGCAAAGTAAATAATAAATAAGAGACTTGAGGCAGTCTTTAAAATTAAAAACTCCAAGAGGGAACTCAAACTTTGGCAAATCCTAATAAAGCATTCCTCTAAAGTATACTTTTTAACATGTATACGCACAAATAAATAATTTCTTTTTAGTCATTCCACTGCTCTTTTGGAATTTCTTTTTTTCCCCCTCTTCTCCTCTAAGCGCACAAACACACAAACAAATCAGGTCCACATTAGCGTGGAGAGAGTGTGCCGATTCTGCAAAGTGCTGTTTCTCAATCAGGGCATTCACAATCAGCATAAGAGAGTTTCTCTCAGTATTAAACTGTACATCAAACTGATAATGATTTCTGTTTGCATGCGCATTTGCTTCCTTTTATATGTGAGATGTGAAAGAATTAAATAAAAGCAATATGAATATTTCAACAAACAAAAACATGTTGATAAACAAGGCTTGAAAAATAAGACAAAAAAAGCCTTCCATATGCTTACGATACATCTTTAATGATCTCAAATCTGGAAAAGAAAGCTTGGGATGACTCATGCATATTTCATTATCCACATGTGAAGCCTTCTCATTAGATCGTTTCACGAGCAGCCTTGGCACACGTTACCTGGGGTTTGATTTCTATTATTATTTCAGTTGATAAACAAATCAAACTCTTAATGAGTAATAGAGGGGTGTGCAGAAACATTAATTCGAAACCCTCAGAACCCTCATGCAGCGCTAATCACTAATGATATTACTTCACTATTTTCATCCTCAAGAGTTAGCTTTTTTTCCTTCTCAAAAAACATCTTGTGTCTTATTAAAGTATATGTACTTTTAACGCCTGCTGCTAAAAGAAACAAACAGTACATCCAGAAAAATAGAGATGAGAGGTGTTATCYGGACAATAATTTAGATTTTTCACACAGATGTGCAGTGTCAACACAGGAAATACATTTTTCTTTCAGGAAAACCCAACAGAACTTTTTTAGTTTTACCTAAAAATAATAAAAAATGTATTTAAACTCTCAGCATTTATTTGGAAGGCCAATGAGAAACGATTCTCTCACTGTTAAACTAYGCATGTTGCTGCTCAGGGAATTCAGCCCCAAATACAAAAAAGTAAAAAAAAGTTTATAGTCTTTATGACTATGTCTCCTCAAAAAATGTGGTGTCTGTCTTCAGCCACAATAAATAAATAAATAAATAAATAAATAAATAAATAATGTAAAAAGTTCATTCTAGGTGAACAGTAATTTTTGTTTCTCTTGATGATCAGGTTATAGTGAAAACATAACTCTTTAAACTATCTGGTTTCCAAGACCCTAAGCACAAATAAGTTTGTCTTTACAGACTGACAACTTTGCAAAAACTAATGTTAAATAAGATCTTTATTAGTAGCTGTGTGTCAAAAAATATGTTTTTTTTTCTCCAAAGGACTGGACAGGAAATGAAGAAAAAGCAGCCAAAGTCCAAAAAGAAAGCTTTGAAAGAGTTTTGGAAATCCCAAATAACTCCTGATAAATATCATTTAAAAAGAAAGAAAGAAAAAGTTTACTTTAAAGCACAGAATAAACAAAAAATAGAGATTATTTTTATGCACACTCATATGATTAAAGGTATGTTCCTCAACTATAGCAAAATAGAGATATTTGAACACATAAAACATGCAAAATTTTAGAACATTTACGAGGTTCTCAAACTCTAAAAGCCTTGTGTCTGTTTGCTTTTGCCTTCTGGAATGCTACAGGCCCTAAAGCCGTCATGAATCCAGAAATAATACACTACCTCTGCTGCCACCAAACCCCACAGTACGTTAATTTCATTTAGCATGCACTCACTGTACAGGATGAATTGATTTCACTTTGTTTGCTTTTGACAACCATGTTTATTGTGCAATGAAATGTGGAGTGGCAGAGGGCTGACAGTATCCATCAATGCGGGGCAATCTGCTGACTGCCAGGGCCAGATGAAGGTATTCATTAGCTCAGGAGCGCGGCGCTCACTCAGACACGACAGCCAGTGTCTGCACCCCGCGATCGCTTGCTGTAATTTACGACGCYTCTTGTGCCATTACTCTATCACTGACACTGATTCAGCAATTTATATACTGGTGTGCATGCATACGGGCAGAGGTGATCTTCTTATGGGGGTGGGGGGTACAAAACAACTGGCTGCCATCACATACGTGCCACATCCATAGTTAGCCAGGAAACCAGCCACGTGAGCTGGCTCGTTGGAGGGAATCCAGATGAGCCATGGTTTTCTTTTCCTTCACATAGTTGCTCCCACAGAAAAGTGCCTGTCTGCTCAGTCAGGTATTACAGAAATCTGCAGAGCCGAACACCAGGAGYACTCTGTCAGTTTATGTTTATGCTTAGGTAGGAGAATTTGTCCTTTGATTTATGAAAAAAAATGCACAATTTACTGCAGCATTGTTTCCATATTTCCRTTTAAAATCACAGCACTTCTCTGGCATTTTGCAGATGAGCAGTAACTTTTGTTTTTGTTTTTGTTTTTGCAGGCGGGACAGATCATTTAGGAATCAGTTAGTTAGTCGTGTGATTGCGTAAATAAACACAGATGTTTAGCAGTGACAGGGCCAACCCCCCTGGGTGGCAACTAGGGAGGAAGCGAAACAGAGGGAGACCTGCTTAATAGAATTTATTGTGATTCATGAGGCCTGCAGCTCAAGTGTGACAGAATGATATGAGAATCCCTCCTTTAATTTGTCTCTCCTGGAAACACTGCGGACAAGAAGGATGAATTACAGTGTGAAAGCGAAACTGTGTTTGAGGGAATAAAGAAGGAAAAAAGAAAGCAAATAATAAAGAAGCAGTAGCGAAAAAAAACTGAAGAATCACAGGAAAAAAATGTAGCAAGGCTCCAAAGTCAATCGCACCTGTGAGCTGCAGGCTCAGACTCGACCATGTACCAAGCCAGAGGGTAGTGCTGCCCCAGGCGCCCCCTTGCCTCCTCCTCTTCCTCCTCCTCCTTCTCTCCTCCTTACTCATCTTTGTTCTGTCGTCATACTCATTCTGTCACCCAGGAATCTGCTCAGGAGGATGAGCCTCRGTGAGCAGGCAACAATTACACAAATCTGCCAAGCCCTCCCTGTTGGGATCAAATCTAACACCTCCAACTGAAGGCATTTACCGCTGACAATAGAGCCTCTCCCTCAGAGCAGGATCAGGCCAGATTAATGGGTACAGACGGGCAGAACACGATGGCTCTGCTCTAACCAGAGCATGTGGCAAGTTAATTAAACYGGTACAAATTACAAGCTAAATAAGCACTAAGATAGCATTTTTTTTCCATTTTAACTTTGAATTATTTGTGTTTTAAAACCATGTATGACTACAAAAGGCCTGCTTGTTACAACTCGCAGGTGGCAGATTTCATTTTTGCCAACTTTAACGACTGTGTTTTAGCACGAACATAAAGGAGACTCTTTAACAGCTCAAACATTTAGATTACTAGGAGCAAACACAAAACTGAACTTTCTGTTTTGACTATTTTAAGCAATTGTTGTGGCTTTCATCATTTCTGGTTCTCATCATCCAAGCTCACTTTAAGAATAACCCCTTCTCCACAAAAGCCACAACTTCATTCCCATGGGCTTAAAGTGGAAAGAAAATCAAACCTTTTTAACAGCTCTTAATGTGAAAAAAMCTATTATCAGTCATGTGTCACAACTGTGCAACACTGCTGTTCTTCTCATCCTCTCCCATGAGGCTTTTGTAAAAGACAGTTCTTAACAGAAGCCCCTTTTTACTCCATTGATTTTCTCTCATTTAACTTCTATACTAATTCTGTTTCCTGCCTCTCAATGGTTTCTTTTCTCTGTAGACGCTAACTGGAGTTGAGCTTAGATAAACTTGCAATCTTTGCTACACAACGGCTCCATCCATACGGCCACTTGTGAATGAATAAAGGCTTCAAACGCTCATGGATTTTGTGGTATTTGGTTATACATATTTTTTTAAGTATAAAAAAGCATAATAAACTTAACAGTATGTACTGCTTGTGATTTTGTAAATTGATTTAAAACCCATCAGTTTGTATTTATTCACCTTTTTCTTTCTGGTCTGAGTTGGTCGGACTTTGGTTGCCGCGTTCTCTGCAAATATTGGCTCAAGCCATTGAAAGCTTTCAGTAAAGCACTGTGATAACCAACACTGTGCCTGCTCAGTGTGGCTGCTCTGTTCTGGAAGGAACGCCGCTGCACACCAAGGGGCTTTCACACCCTATGTACAGTTTGGGAGGTACACCCAGTAATTTTCCTTTTCCGGAAACACCAAAGTCTTTGCAGGACGTTCTGATCTACTTGGGGAGAAAAGTGTGTTAGAACAGAGGTTCTCAAACTGGAGTCCCTGGACCCCCAGGGGTCCGCAAGAGGTAGCTTGGGGGGTCCTCAAATATTTACACTTAAATGTTAATTTGATTTTTGTTTTCAAAAATGCATGGAGAACAATGAACTAATAAAATAAACACAATAAACTTAATAAGAATTTATATTCCCATAGCATTTACAGGTTGAAATGACAATAAATTATCTTTTAAAACAGCACAGGGTTTATGAGGGGGTGGTCCCCAGACCCAAATGGCTTGAGAACCCCTGTGTTAGAATACAGACATTTTCAAAGTAATTTCCTGATGGGTTAAAAAAACGCTTCCAAAACCTAATTGCAGTACTTACTTTTAAAAGTCTGGGACAAGAAACTTGGTTTGGTCGACAAATCATGAAAATTACAGCAGAAATCTTTTCAAATGTTTATTTTTTTCTTTAAATGACTTAAGACAAAGGGACTGTTAAAATAAGACTTTCCTTTTTAACTGATTAAAAAAGTAATGTGTTCTGCACTTGTGATATTAAAGTTATCATGAATGTGATCCTCAAAGGTAATCATGAGAGCAGTAAACGTGTGGTTAACATTTGAAAAACTGGATTCATGATTCATCTGTGTGTAAGCTATTGTTAGTGACTGTTACAGAGGCAGACTGATGTATTTGTGGTAGAAGAAACCAAATGCAAACTGCGCTTTGATTTACGAGCGCTGCTCTGCCTCTGAGTCTTTAACCCAGCCCCCTCCCTCCACCCCTGGGAAGAGGACCTATCCCCTCTTCTAACCCCTGTCTGCTCCTAATCCATCGCCCACTGGGAACACTGATGTGAGGCGTCTGGCGCTAGCCTTTCCCTTGGCCCTGAGTAGGACTTAAAAGGACACAAATGCCCTGGTGCATGCTCTCTTTCTGTCCTGACTCCACAGTAGCCACAGAAGGAGGGTTCCCACCAGGAGAATGAGTGATGAAAACACATCTGTCTGAGGACTCAGACGGGTGGGATGGGATCTTCTACTGTGGCTCACATGGGAAACATGTGAACGAGTCCGCTAAATTCACCTCTAATTCTCATCTTTAAGACTGGGTGTGATGTGAAACTTGCCGTGAATTAAAAAAGGCAATAGCTTTGGAATTTGTAAACAAATAATTTTATGGTTTGTTTTAATTTCTGTGTTAGTTTTTTTTTCTCCAGTAAAAACTCAGTGTGAATCTCTTCAGCACTTCTTTCGAAAACTACAGAGACCACCGTCAAAAAGGACATGTAGAAGAGCTGATGGATAACATTGTCATGTGAAATATTTATTCCTTTGACTCTCTGAGCCATCAAAGCTGAGTCCAAAACATTTCAGTCTCTGCCGGGGCTCTGAAATGCCATGGAAACTGCCACAAATATTTTTCTCAAACAAACACTGGTGCATTAAACTGCTCCTTGCTCCTGTGTAGGAGCCAGCAGTACAAAAGCAGATGACGCTTTGTCACACTGGTGTAATCAGAATTTACACTGTTGCACTTGGGACCTCAAACAAGCACAACAGCAACAGGAGTTGAGCTTGGGAAAATAGCCAGCTTTGTCCTCGTGCACTCCTGTCCTCCGCTCACCTACCTGTGAAAACCTCAGAGCCACGGCTCATTTTTAACAACGCTCACACCCCCACCTTTCTCGCACACACACTTCTGCACTCACTCAAACCAAACACTCCGAATCCTACGGAGAAGTGAGCTTTGTCAAACGTGAAAACGTTTTAGTGCACAGCAATGCAAAAACTGTCCATCTTACCAAGTTTTAAAATATCCAGCAAACAAGAACTGATTGTGTTAGAATAATAATCTTGTTTTCAGAATGTGTAAGGTTATTTGTCTTGTTAGTCTGAAAATTTGACTCAAATAAAGTGAAAATTTTCTGCCAACGAAGTAAGAAAATTTTACTTGGTAAAATTCTTGAAATAAGAAAAAATTGAGTCAAGT